CCCACCCCCCCACCCTAGACAGTGCGGGGGGGCAAGAAAAAAAAAAAAAATTAAAAAAAAAAAAAAAAAAAAGATCTGAGCTGATGTTTTTCATTGCTGAAGCCCAAATCACATCTCAATTGCTCCAAGTTGACTTTGAAACATGACTTCTCCTTGCTTAGCAGGGACTAAAACCTCATGGCTGTCTCTGCCAGCACAGGCAGCGCTCACACTGGAGACAGCAGCAAAGCCCCCGTGGCCTCCAGCCAGGGGACACAGCGGTGACCCCCGCACCCCGTCATACCATCCCACGGGAGCTGCTTCAGCTGCTCCCGGGTTGCATCAGGGTCAGCGGGAAGGGGCCGCGCCGTGTTTGCTCCGCCCGTGCTGTGCCCATTCTCGGCAGCGCTCCCGCGGCTGGAGGGGCCCAGGGACCCCCCGGGCATGGGGGGAGCTGCTGGGCGACGGTGCCAGGTCAGCTTTGGCAGCGCATTAAAAACCAGCTCGTTTGGGGCTGCCTGTCTCTCACATGAGCCAGCTATTCCTGAAACACATTGCTTGTGGTCAGGGAAAAAGCAAACACATTTAATAAATGAATCAATGTACTCAATTATCAGGCCAAAGCCGGAGGAGATATAAGACACGGTTAAACGAGGAGATTCTGGTTGCTCCCCTGCCTCGTACCTGCCCCCCGCCCCAGCCAGGATTTATTAAACAAGTCCCTGTCTCTACCAGTTATTTTGGCTTACTTAAAATAATCAGCTATGTACGTTATCAGTATCCACAGCCCAAAGGCCACTTTATCACTGCAAGTCTGAGCTGAGACAAGCCACGAGCCACAAGCACACAAAGCCACCTGCACGCAGCAGGGAGCTCGGCTGGAGCAGGCAAAAACCAGCAGCGTTCGTGGCTTAAGGGACCCCACCGAGCTGCTGGGGTAGGGTCGGCTCAGGGAAGTGGCACCACGGGCAAGGGGAAGGAGATGTTGGGGTTTGTCTTCTTTTGTTTTTAAATGGTGCAGCTTATCATAGACTCACAAAATGGTTTGGGTTGGAAGGGACCTTTAAAGGTCACCTAGCCCAGCCCCCCTGCAGTGAGCAGGGACAGCTTTAACCAGATCAGGGTGCTCAGAGCCCCGTCCAACCTGGCCTGGAATGTTGCCAGGGATGAGGCCTCTACCAGCTCACTGAGCAATCTGTGCCAGTGTTCCACCACCCTCATTGTAAAAAAATTTATTCCCTATATCTAGTCCGAATCTACCCTCTTTTAGTTTAAAACCATCACCCCTTGTCCTATCACAACAGACCCCGTCCCCATCTTTCTTATGAGTACTGAAAAGCCTCAATAAGGTCTCCCTGCAGCCTTGTCTTCCCCAGGCTGAACAACCCCAATTCTCTCAGCCGGTCCTCACAGGAGGGGTGCTCCAGGCCTCAGATCATTTCTGTGGCCTCCTCTGGACCCGCTCCACAGGTCCATGTCCTTCTTGTGCTGAGGACTCCCAGCTCGTATGGGGCCCCATCCTGCTGTGCACACCGAACTGCAGCCCCAGTGCACGGCCCCATCCCTAACAGCCCCCATCCATCCCCACCCCAACTCCCCCCCACCCCACCCCAAGGCCACATGCGAACCCCAGCGCCAGCCCCGTGCCCTGGCGAGGAGCGATGCCGGTGCAGACCCAAAGCCCTTACAGCCTGCGGGTGCGCAGCCACCACCCAACCATCGCCGCGGGGGTTTATTTGCCCTGTGGAGGAAAGCCACGTCCAGGTGCCATTTGGTGCCCACGAGGCTTCCAAACACACCTGGAGCTGGCCAGCGCTTTGCCAGGCACCCGCAAAATAAATTGCAGTTCCCGAGAACAAAAGCCTGTATTGGTGAAACATGAGGTTGGGGCTTTGGGTTTGTTTTTTTTTTTTTAAATATTTTCTGTTGGAGCAATCCAAGCTTTTGCAAGCTTAATTTCCTCCACCTGCTATTGCTTCATACTTGAGCAAACAGCCAGTGACTGAACAAGCACATCGGGGCTGGGGACGTCCAGCTTTGCAGGCAGTCATATATAGGGGACGGAGCTGAGCCACATCCAGAGCAGAGCAGGAGCCTCCTCTCGGCCGGCCAGGCGATGCTGGCCTCCCTCACCCTCCTCCTGGGGCTGCCGCTCGCCCTTGCCGCTGAGGGCCCCAGCTGTCCCCCACTCGTCACCGTCACCTTCGACAATGCCACCATCCCTGGGGTAAGCCCTGCCCTCAGCTGGGGCACCCGTCCTTGCCTTTCCTATCAGCACCGTTAGCAGTTACAGCTCCAGGAAGAGGCTATGAACCCAATCAGCAACTTGACTCTTATCTCACTGCCTGCCCATGCTTATTTTCCTAAAATAATCCAGACTGTTGCACAGGAGCGTGGGGGACAGGGTGAAACCTTGCAGCTCTGCACCATGAGCAGGCGCTTTTGGGGGGCTCCTGCTTCCATCTCCCCATGCAAACCAGGCTGGGCAGCACCATCCCCAATGCTTTGCTGCTCTATTTTAAGTCCTTCAAGTGATGGGGCCTCGGGTCATGAGTCTCCGTCTGCAAAACCCTTCACTGGATAAACAGTGCATTAGTCCCTCAGGGATGTTTAATGGGAGGAAAGCAATGAAAGCTGGGCACAGAGCAGCAGGGACACACGACCGCAGAAACAAGCTGGCTATCCTGGGAGCTGGAGCATCGCCTTAGTGGGGAGGGGACAAAACCAAGAGGCCCCCACCCAGCCTGGATCCTGCCCGGGGCAGTCACCTACCGGGTGCTCGTGGCCGCAGGACAGCAGGGCTTTTATGCTGCTTTTACTCACGCGGTGCCCGCAGGTGAACCTCGCACAGACCCCGACCTTTCCCCACTCCCCTCCTCTCCGCAGCTCCTGGGACAGTGGACCTACATTGCCGCTGCCTCCAGGTACCCGCCTCACCTGAAAGAGATAAAGGCGGTGAAATACGAAATTTTTTCCTTCTCTCCTGGCAGCCACGAGGACGAGCTCAACGTCACCGAAATCATAAGACTGTAAGGACAAGGATTCACCCCCTCACCCGGCTGCCCCGTACCCGGGGGCATTTCTACCTGCTTGTACCATCCTCTGGGTTGAGACACCCCCACAGATTTGGGGCTGGAGAGCAGCTATGCCAAATTTATTTAAGCTCTGCAGCCCAGCTCGAGCGAATCCCTCGGGTTTGGTTGGGAAACCTGGGGGTGTTTGTCTGGGGGGGGTGTTTGCCCCATCTGACCTCTCTGCCCCACAGGAACGAGACGTGCGTGGTGCAGAACACCGGCAAGATCCAGGTCTTTTGGCACAACTCCACCCTGGAGTTCGGTAAAGCCCTGGCCGCCGCGCATGGCGGAATGGGGAGGGGAGCACCACAGCCCTCACCTTGCACCCTCCCGCTTCTGCCCACCCGGGTATTTGGCACCTTGAGACCCCAGCACCGTGCCCTTTTACACCTAAAAACGCG